AAAAAAAAAAGCTTCTCAATGACAATCATGCTTTTTCCTAAAAAACTACCTTTCAGTACGTAGCAGAACTGCTTTATGCGTACTTCCCATTTTGTCACACGTAATATTAAAAAGATGTATAGTCAATGGTTGAGGTTAAATAAAATTAATAATTTTTATTGCTTCACAAAGCACACTTTGAAGTAAACTGGCATTTTGTTTGTCTTTTATCTGCAAGTGCGTGATGGTGAAGAATAATGACTCCTGGATAGTTTGGAGCCACTGCCTCAATTCCTGCTAAGTAGCCAGAAGTTTTATCCACCTTTACTTTTGCACCATCAATATAATGACAACATAATGGAAAAGGCAAATGTCGTCGTATTGTCATGAAAATAGTTTTGACCTCCTGAAAGGATCTTTGGAACTCTCATGGGGTCTACAAACCAGACTATGAGAACCTACTACTGGGATCGGGTAAAACTGCTGAGCTGCGTGGCAAATAAGCAGAAGGTAAGATGAATGTAACTGGTCTACATTCTACAGTTCTGGAGTCACTCATATGCATTTTTTCCATTCACTTAAGAAGCATTTAATGAATATCTACCAAATATAGGACATTCTGCTGAGTGCTAGGGATTGGAAAAAAAAAAAAAAGTAAGGCATGATCTTTACCTTCTGGGAGCTTGTAACTAGACAGAGAACACAGGAAAACATGCAACATTCCAGAATACAGTGGTGGTTCTGTTAATAGGTTATATATCAGAAGAAATAACACAGAAAAGTGTCTAAGAGAACAGACTCTGGAGCCAGAGTGCCTGGACACGAATTCTACCTCATGGGCATGTGCCATTATACAGAAAGCCCGAGCATTAAAGAGCTTTGGGTAACTCAAACTCAATATGCAGGCTATAAACTTTGACAACTACTGAGCAGCATCATAATAGAATTTCAAATTTAGACATAGCTTCAAAATGAATAATACAGTTACTCTTGATAAGGTACCGAAAGGAAACTTAATTCACAGAAAACTAGGTTTATCTACGGTCATACTTTCCTCTTTCATTTCCTTAAAGAAAAAGAAATTAAGACACAGGTAAATATTAAATTAATGGAGTTTTAGATCTTGTGGTCACATAATCTAAACAAACAAACAACTATATCTTTAGCTTTCCAACTGTGCAAAGGGGTACATGTGGGAAGCTTACCACTTCAAAACAAGTAGCAAGCTTTAGCAAAACTTTTGCATAATTATGAAGTCGTCTGATTGGCAAGAAAAACAGAGTATTCAGTATTTCCATCAACTGAGTGTTTTCATCATTCACTTCCGATAAATCTTGCAACAGCTCTTGGTTTTTATTTAAGAAATCACTGGAGGCAGAGGGAAAAAAAGATTTAGTTAATCATTCTGGTATTGATAATATGCATGATACTGAATAGAAAATTTCACTAGATAGTTCCTTTTTCAGAATGCACATTTTTAGGTACTGTGAAGGCAGCAGAAGATAAATACAATGAAATAAGCCAGACATAATTAAAGAATTTCCCTATCTATTAAATAAGATATTTTGAGTATAAAAAGTAGCAAAAAGTAACTCTAATAGAAATGTTTAATCACATAGTTGTACTTTGAGTGAAATGAATCGTGCATCTACAATTTCAGGGAACAGAGACCATCTGATACCTATTACCTTTAATTTCAAAGCTAAAGGACATAGGAAGAAATGGCAAGACTAATTTCTCTAATTAGTTGTGTTACACAAAAATACTGGAAGGAAAGCAAAGTTCCTTGCTCCAACAGATTTACCACAGATATTGAAATACTCTTACTTTCTTTTTTTCCTTCAATTATTGATCATCTAATTTATTACAGGGGCAGGCACAGTGGCTCACACCTGTAATCCTACCACTCCAGGAGGCTGAGGCAGGTGGATTGCTTGAGTTCAGGAGTTCCAGACCAGCCTGAGGAAAGGTGGACTTCATCTCTACTAAAAATAGCAAAACTAGTAGGGTGTGGCGGCGCATGCCTGAAGTCCTAACTACTCAAGACGCTGAGGCAAGAGGATTGGTCAAGCCCAAGAGTTTGCTATGACCTATGATGCCACAGCACTCTACTGAGGGCAAAAAAGTGAGACTTGTTCCAAAAAAAAAAAAAAAAAAAAGTTTCTGACAGAAGAATAATAAAAGCTGCAAGAACTAGTACCATAATTAATAGGAAACAGCAAAGCAAATTACATGTGAAGAATTCAAAGTTGAAATCTTCAAAAGCATTTCAAACTGAAGCCAAAACTTAGCTTATATATTCAAAAATTTTACTGGAAATTTTGATGCTGATCAGTATCCCAGAGGGGCTATGTGCACCAGACCAAGGTACTTACCAGGTCTGTAAAGTGGTTAATGAGACAGAATAATTATCTGTCACTTAATGAGCAAAGTTACGCACCAGGCACCACCCTGAGTGTGTTATAAATATTACACTACAATTCTTAGCTACAAGTCCTCCAATAAGACACCAAGTCACACAAGACTATGAGACAAAAATGAGTTATTATATAATCCCTTACAGAACTATGGAGTAAAGAGACGTCTAACCCAGAAATTGTGAAATACCATCTTGGAAAAATGCAATAAAAGTATGTAACAATTTCCAGGAACCCAAAGTTCAGTAGCACAAATCTGACTGTTGTATAATACAGAGATGTAAGAGATCTTGGATAGAGGGCTCTAGGAAACAAGGCCGAGATTGTTATTCATATTTGGCTTGTGCTAATGTTCCTACTTCTCCTCCATGTTCTACTGCAGAGAGTATGTGAGGACTCTCAGTTAATCCTACAAGTGTTCTGCTTTGACCTGCTCTGAGAGATAGAGGTAGAATAGTAAGCACATACTTCCTTAGACCATACTTCCCCTGGATACCCAGGACTCACTCCACACTAGAGAAAGATTCCAACCTGTGAACCCCATTACTTTCCAGGACTCACATGTCCTTACCTACAATCTTCCCCTAAAGCAGCCCAGGTATTCTTCTAAGATATCTGAACCAGAGACTGATCAGTTTTTCTTCTCTTAGGAATACAGTGACAATATTGCTCTTTCCTTACATGGCTAAGTTTGTATTTTATTAAGATTTTTAAAGCAAAAATAAATATATTAAAGATAGAAACAACCCAATTGTTCATCAGCAGATAAATGAATAAACAATGTGTATGTATATACACATACAGTGGGATACTATAGGCTACAACATAATGAACCTTAAAAACAGTATGTTGAAGAAAATAAACCAGGTATAGAAAGACAAATGTGTGACTTTACTTATAAAAGGTACCTGGAGACTTGGCGCCTGTAGCTCAGCAGCTAGGGCACCAGCCACATACACCAGAGCTGGCAGGTTCGAACCCATCTGGGGCCTGCTAACCAACAATAACAACAACAACAACAACAATAACAAAAAATAGCCGGGTGTTGTGGCAGGTGCCTGTAGTTCCAAGTATTTGGAAGGCTGAGGCAAGAGAAACACTTAAGCTCAAGAGTATGAGGTTGCTATGAGCTGTGATACCACAGCACCCTACCAAGGGCAACATAGTGAAACTCCATCTCGAAAAAAAAAA